AAACCGACATTCCGGAGAAACTGTACAAATCGCCTGGCGTCATTGACTGAGATGTTTGTTCTTTCAAACAAGCCTTCTGCTTTTTCTATTAACCGTTTTTTAAAATTCCATGAGATAACAGAAGATATGCAGTTCATTACAACGGACAAAGCCCTAAAAAAACATATTTAAAATTATTGTGCTTATTCATTTCATCAGAAAATCGAACAATGCTTAAGAAATCGGCATTGAGTAAAGAGAAAAAGGGAGGGTGGTTTTAAACAGGGCATATTAGAGCATTTATGTTAACTACTTGAAATTGGGGGCAAACAAATGTTACGTACCGTATTTTTTGGAGTATGACACATCTTTTCCCCCCCAAAAAAAGAGGGTGAAAATCTGGGTGCATCTTATACACTGAATACAGAATTTGTGGCCTCCTGAAAACCCGCTCCCTTCACAAAAATGGACATGCAGAGGGTTGGGAGGCCTGCAAAGTGCTCCAGGGGGGCAGGGACGGCAAAAACGAGCCTTTTTTTTGGGCTTGTTTTTGCCCCCCCCCCAGCCCCCAGGATCATTTTGCAGGCCTCTCAAACTCTCTGCATTATCACAAAAAAAATGAGGCCTGCAGAGGGATTGGGAGGTCTGCAGCGTGCAAAAACTTTTTTCTTATAATTTACCTCTTCAAAATCTTGGTGCATCTTATACACTGAATACAGAATTTGTGGCCTCCTGAAAACCCGCTCCCTTCACAAAAATGGACATGCAGAGGGTTGGGAGGCCTGCAAAGTGCTCCAGGGGGGCAGGGACGGCAAAAACGAGCCTTTTTTTTGGGCTTGTTTTTGCCCCCCCCCCAGCCCCCAGGATCATTTTGCAGGCCTCTCAAACTCTCTGCATTATCACAAAAAAAATGAGGCCTGCAGAGGGATTGGGAGGTCTGCAGCGTGCAAAAACTTTTTTCTTTTAATTTACCTCTTCAAAATCTTGGTGCATCTTATACTCCAAAAATATGGTAATAAAGTTTTTGCCTTTCAGCAATGCTGTTCTTCTTTTAAAAGAAAGCCACCTGTCAAATTATTTCTCCTTATTATGAAGACCGCAATGCTTGCAGGCAAAACAACTGAAAGCATTCATACGTAAGCTCAAGTGGGATAGTAGATAAGATTGCTTCACGGAAATTAAGCTTCAATGAGCTTATTCAAGGGGGCTTATTTCTGAATAGATATGTGTGGTATAAGATGGATTCCCCAACCCCCAGGCTGTGGACCAATACCAAGTCCTTGAACCATTAGAAATTGGGCTGCATAGCTGGAGGTGAGCAGCAGGTGGGCAAAACCGTGCATGCAGTTTCTAAGGATGTAGGTTGCACGACCCTCCTTCCCACCCACCCCCAGTCTGTGGAAAAATTATCTTCCATGAAACTGGTCCCTGATGCCCAAAAGGTTGGGGACCGTTTCTATAAGAGATTGACTTGAAAAGCAATGTACTCCTACTTCAAATCTCAAGGCTATCTTAGCCTCAGCTCAGCTGCATACTTGCTACTGAAATAATAATACTGATTTACAGGCAAGTTTACATATGGTTAGGTTTAGGGTAAATAATTCTAGAAACAACATCCCTGGTAGCTAGACAAGATTCAGCAAGTTAGGAAACCCAAAGCCACGTAATGCTTTTCTTATAACATCAGCCATTCCCAACTAAAAAGCAAGCGACTCCTTCATTATTGAAAAATAAATCCCACCAATCAACAAATAGAGACATTAAATCCTACCAATCAACAAATAGAGACATTAACTCTTATTTTAAATTGCACTTGGAAATATTTCAGGCATTATATGCAGCTCTTGACTTATGAATGGTCATTTAATGACTGCTCAGTTATAATACACCCCAAAAAAGTTACTTATGATTCGTAAGTGTAAGTATATTGCTCCATCCCCACAGACACACGATTGCATTTTGCAGATACGTGATTCCATTTTGGGTCCTTGGCAACCGAGGTGGCGCAGTGGTTAAATGCAGCACTGCAGGCTACTTCAGCTGACTACAGTTCTACAGTTCGGCTGTTCAAATCTCACTGGCTCAGGGTTGACTCAGCCTTCCATCCTTCCCAGGTGGGTAAAATGAGGACCTGGATTGTTGTTGGGGGC